TAATAACGCGCACACATCCTTCACAAGCAAATTCGAACGATAAGAGTTGTAGGGCGTGTGGGTGCCATCTTGAAACAATTGAGCATGTCCTTTCAAGTTGTTCCAAGTGGTTGTCGAACCTATACATCGACCGTCACGACTCAGTTGCTAGAAACATACACTATAGAATATGTCAAAAATACGGCTTTACTCCTGCACACTACTCACAGAAAGTGGAATCGGTTTTAGAGAATGAGAGGATAAAGTTGTATTGGAATCAACCCGTACAAACCAAAACGATCATTCGCCATAACAAACCAGATTTGATAATCTTCGATAAGCCAGGAAAGACAGCCTTGATAATCGAGGTTGCAATATCATGGTTTACTGGTATAGAAAGACAGGTACAAATAAAAACAAATCGTTACTGTGTCAATGGTAATTGGGAAGAAGTTACGAAACTGCCATACCCAGTAGGAGATAATTTACTACGTGAATTACAAACTGCTGGATGGAAAGTTTCCTTCTTACCGGTGGTCCTTGGCACATGTGGCGAAGTGCTTTCGAACCTAAAATGAGATTTAATGGAAAAAATTGGCTTAACTCAGGTAGCAACTGCCGACTGTCTCGAGAGAATGCAACGTAGTGCGGTTTTGGGAACGAGCAGGATCATTAAAAATCACCTTGCTGTAAGATAAGGAAATGGTGATGTCTAATGACCCGTTGTGCTTGCACATGCGGAATTAATCAATGATTTTTGGGAAAAAACAAGAAAGGTAGTGATTCTAACATCGGGAAAAGTCATTGAAGACCCTTGTTCCAAATATCATCTTAGGAACATTGTAGCTGAGAGTGAGTAACTCCCAGTATCGGTGGGCTAAACCCCAGCGAGTGTCTAAAACGGCCGAGGCGACTCGGAAGTGTCATGTAGGAGTCACTACATATAATAGAAAACAATATCTTGTACAATACTTTTAAACACAGTAAAATTTACAGCAATGCTGGATTTATGTGATTGATATACTTCAATATTGTTCAAAGTGTTGAGAACATGATTATTAAGTGATCTACTTATATGCTTAATAAGTATGCTAACTACATCAAGAATATTCAATCATTTTATCGGTGTACTTTTACACATTATGTTTTTCGGTCAACATTTTATTAAACCTGTTCTTCAATTACCACACAAATGTCAACGTATACGATCAGAAATTTTCCTGATAAATATCATTAACATTTGTGATCAAATAACAGCATGAGTAATACCAACATCACCTCAAATTTGAAGTAGACACATTCAAAAATCGGTTTTTGTTCCTATCGTTTTTTTTCATCGATTCATTCGTTTCATATACAAAGTTACATGTATCAAAAAAAAACTTAAATCAAAGATCCAGCTCGAGATCGAAAGATTATCCTTATAAAATTAACCCCGTACAATATCGATACATTACTAGAAATGAATTGTTCTTGGACAATATTTTCGATACTTGACATCCTAACTTTTATATGTCTTTTAAGATTATCATATTCTCACTATTGACCTTTTAGAAAACTCTTTTCTTCTTCCAATTGTATCTCTATCTTTCGTATATAACAATGAATATATACAAAGAAAGTTCTTACGATAAAATCCATACCATTGATAATTTCCCTTCAAGCTCATAATCTGCTCATAGTTAGGACACCTAGTGTAGAGCAAAATCCTAAAAGGATTCACGATATTAGGCTTTTCTTCTCGAGTTATGGTCATTTTACTCAGTTTTTAGTCTATTGCAGGATATCACCAGAAAAATCACAACAAAGATTCCTGGCCTGCAATTATTCCCACCGATAGCTTTTATAACCCTTATGGTATATTGAAGTTGCAACTCAAATCGATATCTTCTTTCTGAGATACGACGTTTGCAAAAAAACGTGTTACTTCCACACAAGAGCTTCAAAAGTAGGTCATTTTTTAGACATACGGTATTTTCAGAAGAAATCATCTGGTCGAACTAAAACTTTCAGAATATCTTAAAGACTATGAGAGTTATTGTTGAAGAGAATGACGGATCGAAAGTCTTTGTTGCGATTTTTCTGGTGATATCTTACCATAGGCTGAAAGTTTAGTAAAATGACCATCACTCGAAAAGAAAAGCCTAATGGCAGGAATCCTTTTAGGATGTTTATCGACACAATGATTCCTCTCTATAAGTGAGATATGAACTCAAACAAAGATTATCAATCGCATGGGTTCCTTCGTTCGCTTCAATCGAGAAAAAAAACAATAGCTAAAGTCATCTTGATAAGTTTGTATACATTACAAAACAATAGAGAACTAAAAGATGCTTGTCTGTCAGATATTTCTTTTTTATTTTGATGATGACATGAACTAAGTAAATAATAAGTGCATCTTACACTAATGTCATCAAACGAACACAACCTCAAGAGAGATTCTCGTTTTTTTCATATAGATAGATCAATTAAGAAATATGCCCTTCAGTCAATTGGAATTTAAAAAGATATTTCGTATTAATGCCAACACTGAATATGAACGTTTTTCAAAATGCCAAAAAATACAGTTAAAATTAGCTTTTAATAGTGGGAATGATCGACTTATTGAATAGGGAGGAACTTATTTTATTTGTTCAATATCTAATTTCATACAATTTCGATTTAAGAAATAAAAATATTTAATGACTTGATCTCTAAAAGTCCTTTTCTATAAATAGTTACGTTTACGCTTTTATATGGTTGAACTTGTATTTAATAAAAATATTCCAAAGACTTCAGAATTTTTTCCCTTTCCAAGTAATGAGATTGTATTGATGAAGTTATATATATTTATTTCACAAAAAGATATCCACTTTCATAAAGATTTCCATTTTTTTGTTAATAGCTCATAAACACAAATAGATGTGAATTATCTGATCAATGAAGCCACTTGGAAGACTCGATATTATATTGACCAAACTAAGCTGTAAGAGAATACAATTTTATGTATAGATAGGGTATTATGTTACGTATACTATTGTTAAATAGCTAATAATCGATGAATGTAAGATGATAGCATGTCATTTAAATGTATAATCTGGAAACAATCGGTTAAGTTCCATCATAATCACGTATACAAACCAGTTTGCAATGCCATATAAAATTACCACCAAAAAATATCCGTTTATCATCTTATTTGATTGTTTTATAAATCTGACGAGAATCAAAAAGCTTTTAAAGTGAATCAACATGCACAAATTTAAAAATTATGTTTTGTTCTACGAAGAAAAATTCACTGCTTCGAATTTTTGTAAATCTTTGATGATTCATATTAGAGTAAAATAAAATAATTTATTGCTAATTATTGAGATAACATAAACGATACAATAAAAAATGTAATTAATGAGAAGAAAATAATAAAACATATCATTACAATAGTGCACAATAAGCGTTTTCGATATTCATCCATTAGTTCACAAGATCAATTCTCCATATAGAAATTTTTTTCATGAACAACCCTTTTTTTCTCTTTTCTTTCCGAACAAACTAATTTCATTAAAAAAAACAGACGAAGAAGAAGAAAGAATCCTGTGTAATGATCATTAAAAATGTATAGTAAGAAAGTACACAATAAATTCATATAAAATAATGTTAGTTTAAAAAATGATAATATTAGTATACATAGTTAGTTCAATATCTAATGAAGAATAAGCCAAAGAGCATGAATTATTCCAATTATCCAAAAACCAAATATAGTTAAAAGTAAATTGATTATCACTTGATTATTACAGGCTTTTTGATGTAAATAAACAGCCAATGGTGGAATGAAAATAGCAAGAATAATTAATAGAATGTCAGCCATGTCTCGTGACGTTCGTGGATTAGCTTGTGCTTAGATTTATGTGAAACAAGAAGAGAAAATAAAGCGAATGTGTATTATGTTTTTCTTCTCAAATTCTATTTTAATCAGTGCTAAAGAAAAAAGAGAGCGAGAGAAATAAAAACGTCAATTTTTTTAAAGAGAGAAAGAGATGTCAAATAAATCTATATGCAAGCATATAACCGTTTGATTTAGTTAACCGACAGAGTAATAAAATCAACAGAGACCTACGTATATTCAATGCAAGACATGGGGTAAGTGAGCAAATAACAACAGATGACACTAAAGAAAATGATTGATCGTTTCATGTTTTCTATATTTGATTATGAAATCAACAGAATCACGTTTCACAAACTCTTTAAAATCAAAGATTCTTTTATGTATCCTTTTCAAGTCAAATAAAGAGGAAATCTATCTCATTTCAATCAGAAAAAAGAAATATGTTTGATAATCTAATCAGGCTTTTTTGCATTCGGACAAAGGATAGCAATACTGTTTTTAATTTATATCCTTTAAAAATGGAAATATTAACTTATTCGAAATCAAAAATATTCTAGCAATATAATAATTCAATCGATCATACTATTTCAATAGAAACAGAGATGTTCATGGTAGAGAGTATCATGCAAAATTAATCTTACTATTCATATAATACAGAATTTTCTTTGTCAATGATAGGGAACCCAGCAAGTACAAGATTTAGATTTTGCATTTACAAAACATGTATAAACAATGTCAAGGAAATTTTTTCATATCAATAAAATTATTTACACTTTTTCGGTTTCAATTCCCATTACATTCAATAGGACAAAATAAACATTATTGATTCTTTTTTAATTATCAAAGTTCTGTTTAAGAATGTTCGTATTTTTAATCAATATAAAACTCTGCATTGAATAAGATCAAAAGTCGGCGTTCGATCATTTCTTTGTTTTTATTTTTTCGGCACACTTTAATAAATTATTATCTCACAAATATAGCATTCTTTTTATTTTTCCTTGAAATCAATTTTTTATGTATATCAATTGTAAAAAACAAAATACAAAGCTTGATTGTTTACTTTTGGTAACGGATAACAACAAAGGAAAAAAAGTTTCCTAAATAATCAAAAAACAAAAGCAACAACACACATCATAATTAGAAAACCAAAAAAAGAAACTGCTTATTGGAATTCTTCAATCAACTCTCCAGTCTCTTTTGATATATATCCAAACAAGACTAATACTTTCAAAATTTTATATTTAAACCATCGTTCCATTCGATCTTTGCTGAACAAAAATAAACAAATAATGAAATAATGTTTTTTTCTTCAAAATAAAAATATTAACTTACAAAAGTATCAGATCAAAAATAAACAGTTCTAATCGTGCATAAATACGATCTTTGAATAATCTTTGTGGTCTTTCATATTTTCGAGCACCCAAAATAGCACTACACAAGAAAAGAACAAGTAAAATTTTACTATGAATAAAACTCATATATTTCAAATAAAAGAAATGAATTTAATATTGGTATCCTACAATAGATCAAGGTCACAATAAATATCGATTTATATACTATAAGTTGAAATTTCAAATTCAAAAATATCTTGTCTTGATATTGTCCTTCAAAAACGATCCGTTATTCTTTTAATGAATTTAAAAATTGAATAATTTTTGTACTAAACGTTTCTTTGTGAGCTATTTTATTTTTACAATAAAATATAACATTATGATCTAAGTTTAATACTATCACGATGAAACAGTTCCTCGTAGAAGTCCGAAAAAAAAGTATGAAATCAATAAGAAATGAAAATGCATAATAACCAACCTTCGAGCCATAATAGTATGGCGATCAATTAGATTTCCATGATCCCGAATAGTTGATCGTATTTGATTTAAGTTCCTAGAAAAAAACAAAATACTTTATCATATATTTGCATTGACTACTTTTTTGTATGGTATCTATTCGTTCTTAAATAGATTAAATATTACATTCCTCATATAAAAACTACCTGAGAACAAGAATAAGCGTGTCCGGTAATTGCTTGAATACATCAATAACTTCATCCATTTTTTCTCGAGCTTTTAATCGTATACGATCCATTTCCTCTTTAGTTATTTTCTGTCGAAATGATACACTACCACGTCGAGAACGCAATGATTGCATAATCAATATTTCCGCAAACAAACGATGATACTTTTCTATAGATAGGATTTCCAAAAAAAAAGAAGAATAATCCAAATTCTTTTAATCTCATATATACACAAAGACAAGTATTCAAAAGAAAATGACGACGACAACTAACCTTAATATCATTAATAATGGTCGAGGCATATCATGAAGAGTTCGTACGATACTATCTTGAATATCATTAAAAATAGCTGTAAAATCTTTACGTATGGCCATTTTTTGGTGTGGACTCATATTTAAAAATTCTTTTTCACTCTAGTACAATAAAATAAATAAGATAAACAAAAATTTTAGGGAAAAATACGAAGTTTCTTACAGGAAGACGAATTTTTCCTTGTGTATGTGCTTCTATTTGTTCATCAGGTGACATTCGATCCCAAACTTCAGGTAATATTGCTAAATCATGTATAGGTCGATGAATTGGACGCATAGAAAGGACAGTAGCAAATGTTAAATAATCCTTTTCTATATCGAAATAGAACCTATTAGTTTTTCAATCGCCATCATTTTCTTTTAATCATGCTTTGTATATGTGTAAAAGCATAATAGACTTACCTTGTACACCAAGTGCTAATGAATATTCTTTCATTTTAATTTCATCCTTCAATATAATTGATTTCCATAATTGACATAAAGCTTCTCGATCTTTTGGACCAATTGTTACGTATAACCCATGATCAAGTAAAACAATTTGAATATTTGATTTCGTTGGTGTTTTTGGATCTATTCTTATATAAACATTTCCTGGCTAAATACATACAGTGAGAACCAAAATTATTCAACAAAATTTATTTTCAATTTTTTTCCTCTGTCGTAAGCGTTAACAAGAACACAAATTGTGATTTAGAATCGAGAAAATGGTTTTCAACAAGAATACGCACGGATAAATATAATTTTGTTTAGACTACATAGCACGACAAAATAAATCATCTTGTAGAGAATGGGACATCACCCAGTTCTTTGCAATGATTTTGGTATGAGATACAGTAGTTTAATTGAAGGTCAAAAAGTGGTTTTGATATATGAAACCGAAAGAGAAACGAATTGATGGGCTTTCGTAAGATCAGTATGTCTCAGCTAAAAATCATTGCAGAGAACTTAAGAGACATTTCATTTTACTCTGCCAAATTCTTGTTGAAGATAATTTTCTCTATTCAAGTCACTACTTAGATTCTTATTGTGAGTTCTCATTACAGAATTAAGTTTGTACAATCAATTCCTGGAATCATTTTATATCTGTAAATTTTTCTTATTGATCAAATGAAAGAAATGAAACATACATGAGGATCGGCATGTACAAAACCAGAATGAAATATTTGAAAAGCCATAGCTTGAACAAGTTTTGTATCAATTTCTTGTAATGATAAATTTGCTTTTTTAAGTTTTTCTGTATCTGAAACTTTAATACCATCGATATATTCCATAACAAGTACTCGTTTTGTTGTATATTTCCAAAAAACTTTTGGAACATAAATAAATTTTAAATGTGGAGATAACTGAGCATAACATTTATCAGCATTTTCGCCTTCTAATTTAAAATCAAGTTCACGTTCTAAATTACTCTTTACTGAATCAATTATCCAACTGAATTCAAATTTTGGAAAGATTTTACCAATTGCATATAATATCAAATGAATGGTTAATATATCGCCGGCAAAACGATCTTGTAAATCAATATATTGTAATTTAACAGCCACACGTTCATTTGTTGATTTAAGACGACCTTCATAAACTTCAGCAAGAGAAGCTGCAGCAATAGGTTCAGGAGAAAGAGAAGAAAATAAATCAGACACTTGACAGCCAAATTCTTCATCGATTAATTGACTAACCTGAAGATAAATTGTGAAATTTAATATTTATCGACAGCTTTACTCTTCGAAATAACAAACATAACAAATTGACTTCATCCTCATCGATAAATATGAAAAGATTTCGAGATGCAGTTTACTAGAAGTTTTGAGGCTTACAATTGACAACTTTAAAGACTTTAGAAAATCTCTCATTGTACTCATATCCAAGTAAATTCTCTCGACCCTCCTTTCATTTTCAGTCTAGTTCTATGATATGTTCAAGTAGTCATCATTGATATAGGACTTTATCGAGTTTTTTGCTTTTACATCACTTAAAATCAGAAACACAGAAAGTTGATCTCATTGATCTTTGATTGTCTACGGTATTCTTCGTTAAATTTGAACTAGCATCGAAATAGTAGAACTTAGTTCTAGGAATAATAAATAGATATCATAGAAATCTTACTTCATTTCGTTGTCTTCTTAAAGCTCTATCTTGTAATAATCGAAGCCCATCAGTGTATTCTTTTGGTAAAATATGATCAGCACTAACCATTCCTTGACCCATTTTAATATATAAACCACCATTTTCGATACATCCTTGAGCTATTCTAGCTGCTGCTCGTTTATGACATTCTTTAAGTTTTATTTCATATTCTGGTGATGTATCAGATACTGTCCAAAAACAATATTTATAATCAAATGCAATAACAAAACCGATTCGAAATGATCTGTACACATAAAAATTAAATTAAACTAAATGTGTATTAAATATAATATCAACTGATGACTAACCGAAATCCACGTTGTAAACCTTCAAATAAAACTCTTATTTGACGTCTTTCTTTTGGTGTCAGATAGTAAAAATAATAAAGACTACCTCCACCAAATAACAATCCGTTCGCTATAATATAGTTTCTTAAAAAACGTTGACTACGGCGTTTAACACCGAAACGATCTGCTATAGATCGAAAAGTACTTCTATTACTATTCGATACTAAATTTTTCCTCGCCCAACGAAATGTATTTGATGATAATAACAATGAACAAGCTCGAAAAGCATTCATATATATATAAATCTAAAATAGTATTGAAGAATTTTTTGGGTTTCGTCATAAACCTTCAAAATCATAATACTGTAGAACTATACAACAGTACAAAACCATTCAATAAAATATATAAAACAAGCATTTTTTTAAAATTGTATCACAAAAAAAGAAGACACCGGACAAGTTAGTAAAACATATCAGTTAATATTTAACTCGTTTAATTCGTCCATTTGAATTACTTGCAGTTGAGGGTGTTGCATCATCTTCATCCATTGCAGTATGTTCATCACATGCCGGACGTTTAAGACTTTTAACAATTTGAGAATTAGCAAACATGATTTTCTCTACTCGAACAGTATTGTCATGATCATCTGCTAACCATGGATGTTCAAGTACACCAGCCATTGTTAATCGTTTATTCGGATCAACACACATCATTTGACGTATAAGATCTTTAGCTGTTGCAGAAACTTCAGACCAAAATTCATCGGGAAATGTATAAAGACCTTTAAGAATTTGTTCATTAAGTGGAGAATCGGGTGATTCACTAAATGGTGGATAACCAACTAAAAAGATAAATGAAGATAAATACTTGAAAAATAAAATTTCTTTTTCTTTTTCACCTAAACAAATATATAAAATAACACCTAAACTCCATACATCAACTTTATTTGTATAACTTCCTGCACCACGTGTTGCTAGAATTTCTGGAGCTGAACAAAAAAAAAATAAAAGTAACACAAAAATTCTTTTTAATTCTTTTTTTCCCTACCAAGATAATTTGGTGTACCACAAAATGTTTTCATTAAACTTGTTTCATTAATCAATCTTGATAAACCAAAATCAGTTATTTTAATTAATGTTTCATTTGTCTCTGGTGATGTTAAAAGAATATTTTCTGGTTTTAAATCACGATGTGTTATTGAATGATCATGTAAATATTTAACACCAATACACATTTGTCGAAAAATAAATTTACTTGTTGCTTCATCAAATTGACCATGTGCAACAATACGATCAAATAATTCTCCACCATCAACTAATTCGAGAATAATATAAAGAGCATCAGGTGTCTCAATAACTTCATGTATATGAATTATACATGGATGAGCTAATGCTTGTAAAATTGAACATTCATTTTTGATATTTTGATTGAATATATGAGCTTGTGGACCATAATGTGTAAAATGTTTTTTTGCAATAATTTTCATTGCAAAACGATCACATGTACCTAAGAAAAGAATATATTTTAAAATTTACACATTAATGGTTTATTTTTACTATTATATTACATTTAATTAAACATATTAGAGATGAATAACTTTCTTCACACACGAATTCCGAAATATTATAAAATATTCTAGAATGATTTGATTTTTTTCAGATCATACGATTATTGTAAATATCTTAGATAAACGTGATTCATTCGGATTTTAATTTATATCGTTAGTAAATCATATCGCACATTTGTACGTATGACTGTCGAAATACCGCGGTGCTCATACGAGCTAACAGTGGTGCTTACGACGACATTTGGTTCAAACTATAAACGATTATAGAGAGTGTTTTCTACCAAAACTCGAACAAATTGCAATTGACTAAGAACAAACCGGTTTCAGGATCTATTTTATTAATATTAATTAATCTCATGACTGGGATCAATTTAGGCTTTGTGACTAGTACAGGCGGCTCAGACATAGTGCATCGAAAACAACTCAATTTCGTTAATTTTTTTTCAGACTTCAAAAATATTCACCTGTTTTAATAGTGTTGATCATATGACTGCAAGTTTTAGAATAGAACGATCTTTTCTTTTCAAATGATAACATCGTTATTATGATGAACCAGTTTTTTCTTGATTATATCTTCATTGACTATGACAGTTTAACTTTAATTGCTTGTCAATTCACTTAAGATATGTAGTTTTTTGTGTTCTTCTGATTAATCGAAAGCATAAACAAATATGTGCTGCGCTTTTACACAATCATAGCAAATAATGAGGTAAACATGTGGCTTTGATTATTAGTTAATTTGTGAATCAGATAACATTTCCAAAAGGGAATATATTCTTTTCTTAAAAATTTCCAACTAATGAACAACGTTATTACTTTCAGCTAGATCAAAATTGGTTTAGTCTCAATAGTGCACATGCTGTAAAACTTGAATCTCTCAATAGTAATAGATATATATTTTGATTTAGAAAATCCGAAATACTAAAGTATTCTAAGATAACTAATGTATCATTGAAGATCTATGCATCGAGCAAATACTTGACAGAATCAAAATGTTTTCGTCAATATCTTGAATTACTTAAGACTCCCCTCTCTGCTCGGTAATGCTTGGCTTTCAAGGAGGATACAACCGATCAGTATAAAATTTTTACCAGAGATAGAGCGCCTAAAATAAAGAAACATTTTCAAGGAAAAAAAGTTTTAAACAAGGTTGTCTATAGGATCGCATCGAGACCACTTACGACTCCCGTCTGATCTTGTCCGATCGGACTGAAATTTTTTCAAATTGCCCTAGACCATATATATCGTAGCTAGTTTTCAAGTTTGTCAAACATCTGGTTTTCGGTTTCTTCTAGAGATTTCTATGGGAAGCTCAAAAACGAAACTGGTCAAATTGACTTCTAGAGAATACATTCAAGTATCTGTTGTTGAAACTTTTGCCTGATTATCTTGTTTCAAAACTTGTTCTCCAAACATATATCTTCTTATTTTATGTGCTCTACCTATAGTAAAAATGATATGAAGATCGATTGTACTTTTCTTGAGAACCAGAAATAGCTCAAAAAAGAGGAGAGTATCTTTAAGAGTGCTAGTTACTTATCTTAAGTTCATGCAGATACTAATAAGATTGACGAAGTATTTACACTTCTAGTGAATAATGATAGAACACGCTCATTAATGAAACTAATTGCTTTTTGCATTGTTTACTCTTTGTTTTTTTTTACCTCGAGTAAAGCATAATTTGACTTCACCATAAGCTCCACGTCCAATTTCTTTGGAGATAATATATTTGTTTCGAACAATAGCTGGAATGGACGAATCTTCATGAACATTTGCATCAATATAAACATAGACTCGATGTGTTTTTGATGCTAATGCAATTTCTGCATTATTTTCTAAAATATGTCGGTTATTTTTTCCAATTTTTTCTCCATTTATATATGTTCCATTTGATGATAAATCAATAATATAAGCATATTTCGTTGTTTCATCACGAATAATTTGAAAATGTTTTGATGAATAAGCAAGAAAATATTTTGATGTTTGAATTTCATTTGAATTCAATACTATTGTACATGTTTTACCACGACCTAATGTATATTCATTATCTATTAAATCAATTGATGAGAAAAGTTTATTTATTGATAATAATCGACCCCAGATATTTGCATGACTATTACAATTTCCATCACCTTCTAAACCATCTGCAATACCATCAAATCCTTGTGTTCCTTGTGTTGGTACACTTAAACTCTGAATAAAAAAAATAATTAGAAGAAGAAAAAAAGATCTTGTTTTATCATCTAACCATTGGTATAGGTTCACTCATGATGGTAACAATGATGCTTATGCACCATAAAATTGTTCTCGCTTATTCTTTAAAAAGAATGCAAAACTTCTATTCAACATGAGTCAAGGTTGCACCATAACGTATTTTTGAGTAAAACACGGGTGCAAAAAAATACCAATGAAATGACATCCACAAAACAATGAGTGACATCTACTTTTGATGTCTAAAATGTTAAAGATAGTCAACTAACTATATAAATCTGTAGATTTTCAATACTTAAAGGTAAAGATCTAAATTCATATGCATAAGACAAAATGTGTTTTATAAGTTTTTTTCGAATTAATCGTATCTTTTTCATAAATCTATTATATGTTTTAACGAAAACAATAAATTATTAAATACTGTTGTCACTTATTGCCTCAATATTTGTATCGATTTTCCATAATTGACTTATGATATTATTAGAAACTTGTTGAACATCGACCTTTTCTAGCCAAATCTTCATAATCTTTGTATTGTTATTTTTCTTTTTGCTTTCTTTAGCTATTAATAGTGCTCTATTATTTTGTTATTTATTTTTACATATATAAATTTGATTGATGTGAAGCAATTTTTTTGTCACCTTAGCTATGAATAGAGCATATTAGTTGGTTTCTTTTGTTATGTGTTCATTTAGTAATCATCAACTGATATCTTATTGTTTTTATCAAAAAGAGAGATATCGCAAAAACTTGAGTTGGACTACTCCGAGTACCACTAATATCGGACTTGCGCTTGCCTACCTCTGCATATGAAACTCACTTTCAACTGTTACATATTTTGTATTTTCTGATTGCATATCATGGATTTCATCTAATAGTAATACTCGCCGCATGTTATGTAACTTTATTTAGTTTTTTTTTCGAATCTATCGAGCTTATTTGTCAATACTTATGCGATTAACTGTATTGCGTTGTAGTCTATTTATTGTCATCGTTTTTTTATCTATTGTTATATTAGTCTATCAAGAGCTATATATATATCATTCTCAATAGCTCAACAAAGTTTAATGACATTATAACTTATTCAATTTTCTTTTTTTATTATAATACAAATTCCGTATAGTATTATTCACGAGAATAACTTCAAATGTGTATAAATCTTCAGAATAAATTATGATTGAAAAATTTTGTTTCACTATTCGCTGAGTATATTAGTTTATATAACATGTTTCATTTTCTTTCGGTGTTTTATATACAGGTGTTTGTAAAAAAGAAACTTGTACAGCAATAATTCTTATTAAAGATTTTCTTGCTATTCCAAGTAATGACAAACGTAGGTTTTTTTAGAAATGAATCTTCAGTAGCTATACTAAATAATAGTTAGACAGAGCTACAACTGCTCTATTTTAGATACATGTATAGATCATCAAGTGCAATCGTCATGTATCTCGATTATATCATCGGAACAATAAATATTGCAGGATCTATTTCTTTATTTATCTTAAAAACAAATATTCTATTAATTTACTTCAAATATCAATCAAGTAAATGAGATTATCTATTGGTTGAATAATGACAACAAGTGATAAAATAAACGTTAGAAAGTTAATTCATGAAATATTATTGAAATTAAAATGTGTTTTCTAGTATAAACTCAAATGCAATTATTATGGTCTTTATATAATGTTGCTATACTTGAGAATGATCCAGTTTTTTTCTGTTAAATATAAGAAATGAACATCAGCACATAGTTTATTAATTATTTCAATAAAAATGATGTGTACAGCAAACGATAATGACATAAGATGTGTCAGCCTTATTATGAAATAATTTATCAGCATAAATATATTACAAACAGTGATAATATAAGCTAATATTTCTATGTTAACGCAATAGAGAATCTTTAATCAATCATAAAACCCAATGTTCAAAAAGAAAAAAAGTCGGAAAACAATGATGAACTCGAAGATTTCCTCTTGGATGAAGAAACTAAAACTATAATAATTTATCTTGTAAACAAATGCGTCATGTCTATGAAAAAAAGATGATCAATTCTGTTTTTTTTACATAGGATTAACTGAATTATAGCCTATCAACAACGACAAAAAATAGTTTCACAGAAACCTATAAATAAGGAAATAATGGTAGCTGCGCGCAATTTTCTAGGCATCTATATCATTACTAATATTTTGTCAAGATTTAAAAGAGCTTATCTTATGCCATTCTCATCATGTATGAAAAGCGCTAATTGTGCAAAAACAATTCTACTAACTAAGATATTTTATATGGTAAATTTATAAACTTGGCATGTATTTGTGATAAACAAGAATATACAATTCAATGATATTTTAGTTTATTACTATCACTTATTCATGTAGAATGACATAAGAAAAAGTTAAAAACTATTTTGATACCTTTTCACACAACTTTGATTTTAAATATAGAATGACAGAGTGATTTGTTAGTCATATTTATTTGTAGATTTTATATTAGCTATAGATCCTTTCGAAAAACAGATTGTCATTCATACATATCTCATAAGGAAAACCCTCAAACTGTTCAATCGCTTTTGAGGAGAGATCATGTGAATTATGTAGATCCCCATAAGCGATGAATAACTCCTGTCATTAGCTTATGGCTACAGAGATATTGCAATTTTAAGATATTTTTTAAATAAATGGTTTGGTAGCAAAAGAAAGTAATTTTCAAATTTCAGATCTTGCTACTGCTTCTATCCCAAGACACAATTATGGTAATAATATGGCGTTGACATCACTCATGTAAATCAGCATATGTCAAGTTCTTATTTCAGAACTGAAACAAATCAACAGATCTGAAGCTGCTCTCGTTATAGCCTGCCTCCATGCAACATTCAAAGTCGAAATTCGAAAATCAATTTTCTGTTATCACGGCATTTTATTAAACAAATACCGTAAAAATACATTTTATGCGTAGCAATAAGCTAACGGCACGAACTCTACTCTCGTTGTTCATAGTTTGCTTGGATTTAAATAACGCACATAGTCTAGACTAAAAGCAATTGAATAGTTGGAAGACTTCCATCGTCAGTGTTTATACCGTATGAAATCAGTTTTCTGATTATTTCAATATATTGGCCTTCATATTATTCTGAAGCAATGTTTGTTTCGTCTATAATCAATTAAATAAGATTTTTTCAATAAAATACTATCGGTAAGTGCGATAGCTTCTGTATTCATGCATATTAAGGATTCATGATATCAGGAAATAAAAATCAGACTAGAGTAGAGTCCGTCGGATCCAAAAGTTTCGAAACCAGAACCGATTTCAGTTGATCAAACGTTATCGGATCTGGACCTCGCCCCGACGAGCTCTAGACCAGAAACAGTAAAACACTAAAATGAATGTTTTTTTCTATGTACTAATAGTTGTCCTTTATACCAATGCGTTACGCTACAATTATCTTTTATTCGAAGAATCTACGAACGAGCAAAAAGATTTGAAACCATGTAATCCTTACTCTAAATTTGAAAACACCACAGTCTAGTTCTCCTCCTGTTTCTTTTTTAATTTTTTATGGGAGTAAAAAAATTTTAGAACTTATGTGTTTCATAAATTAATCAATTAAAATCAAAAATTAACTTTTATATTATTGGGCAGATATGGTATTCAAACAAAGCATACTTCAATGATGTATAGCAACAAAACGAACACAGAAGTATTTCAATAGATAACTTTTATTATTTGTTTTCACCAATGAGAATATTTTCAATTGCTTGAATAACACGAACACTGCGTGGATCGATAGTAAAAGCAACAGGATCAAGTTGATTGCAAACATATGCATAAGCCAATTGATGTGGAGGAAATGCAAACGCACAACTACCACCATAACCTATTTCAAATACAAATAAATATATTATTCATACTTTGATAAGATCAAACAATTAGCAAAAGTTTTTTTTTTTAAATTCCATTGAATTTCTTCATTTTTCGGCAAAGAAAGTTATAAATTCGGAGCTAGATTCGTAAATAATTCTTACCAGAATGACCAAAGACACCATCGCCAAATACATTAAAATAATCATTATATAATTGAAATCCACCCTTTCCAAAAGTTGTTGGCATATTATACCAATTTTGATCAGGTTCGCCTGTTGGAGTTATATTCTTAGTTGCTTCTATGAGAGTTTTTTCACTTAAAAGACGCTTTTGTTTCTTCCCATTTTCATTGATATCGCCGATAAGTAAAGAATAAATACGAGCTAAAGATCGAGCATTTGTAATTCCATTCACAGAAGGCATTTCCGCTTGATGAAGTCGAGTTCCATTAAATATCATTAATGATCTTCCCAAAGGAAAAGCACCACTACATGATAATGATTTCTCAGTTTGTGAATCTATTAGACGTGCATTACTTGTATCAACCTTGAATACAAAAACCTTTACCTATTTGATGTATGAATCAATTTACTTGTTTACGAGTGACAGGAGAAATACGTGCTTCAACTTCATCATTAGGTATACCCACATAAAATTCACTATCTAATTCATCACGGACAAATTGACCATACGTACGATGATGAGGATCAGCACGACGAACTAATTCACCACCAGCATATCCTATTGTATGACCATGATATCCATGAGCTGTTCCAGGTGTCCAATGAGGTTTTTGTGTAGCTAATAATGACGTCATTCTAGACCAGTTATAAGTATCTTCAACTGTAAGTTGTTCATCTATAAAAGGTAGACCAGCTCGATGCGCCAATAGATCACAAAGTGTAATATTCTTAAAAAAAAAGTGATACTGATAAATATTTTTTACAAATAATTTCTACCTCTTTTCCATTACAAGCAAATTCTGGCCAACATTCTGAAACACGTGCATCATAATCAAGCCAATCCCTTTCTACACATAATGCTATAGCTGCAGCTAATATTCCTTTGGAAGTTGAAAACACTAATTGTAATGTATCTGACGTATAAGGTTCTTTTTTTGTTTGTGTATCTTTCCAACCGCCATATAAATCAATAACACATTCTTCACGATAATAGATGCATAAACTTGCACCGATATCAAGTCCATCGACTAAATTTTGCTTGAAAGCAGAACGTATACTCTCCCAACCATGTGCTACATATCCATATACGTGACTGTTATCGCCATTACCCATGCAAAAAATGGCTAAGAATCTAACTAAAATCAATTTTCACAAAAATAATTGCAAAAAAATCGATTAAAGGTATCATGTTTCGATTAAATTCGATGTAACATTTGGTTATAATTGATTTCTCTCAGTAAAAATCGATTAAAATCGATTTTTTTTTATCAAGGAATCAAAATAACCGATTAAAAGCCTAATTGAGTTTAATCAATTTTTCATAGGGAAATCTCTTAAGTCGATTAAAAACCAAAGCGATTTTAATCGATTCTAAGAATAATCCATTGTGATCTATTTCATTGGCAGTAACCCAAATAATTGATTAAAAATCAACTCGATTTAAATTGTTTTTCTGTAAAAACCGATGAACAGTAATGAAAAATCACAAAGTGTCTCAAGATGGGTCGGTCGGCTCCAGAAATTTTCAAACTTTTCACAAGAATTGTTGAGTTTCTTCTTGAAATGAGACGCTTCTATATTACATGCATAGAAAATGCAGAATTTTCAGTTTCAAATGAGGGACTGAAATCACTACAGTTTTATTTTGGCTCTGCCTTTATGAACTTAAATCGTTTTTTTTCCGATAAAATGTAATTGCGAGATTTATAATATAATAAATAAAGCTGAGCTTGATGTTTATACAGTATAATAGATTCTGTTATGGAGAATATATTAAAACAGGTTTCCCTGTTTAGAATCTAAACAATTGATTGAAACCGATTTTCGTCAAATCGATGAGAGTGTATTGAACGATTTTTTTTGAATAAAATTAATTAAAAGAAGTTTAAATTGATATGAACTATTAATAGGTAAGAATATGTGAAAATTGATAAAAAAGTAAGAATAGTTGACAGCTAAATGGTAGGTACTGATGTATTAAAGTGGATGATTTGATGAATAACAAATTAGGATTGATTCCTATGGATCAAAAAACATCAGGATTCAATCGATTTTGTTACGGATTATTAATCGATTAATAATCCGTAACAAATCGATTGTAATCAAATTTTTTTCACCGGTTTTTACATGGATACCCACGGATGACCTTATCGCGTGTGTATTTTTACAATAATAAGGCTTTTTGTTTTTTATATCAGCATATAATCGGATGCTTATCATCTATTTCTTTTTCGTTAATAGATAAATAACGAAGACAATAGTAGAAACTACTACGTAATCTTCGTCTCGATTGATTAAGTACACATTTTTATTAATGCGCAAATAGTGATCTAAATCATTGTGGCTCTTAAAAGCTGATGTATTAAAATTATATCTTCTTTTTAATAATATTGAAATAAAATGATTTGAGATAAAAATTATCAGATTGATAGCATCAATCAAAGATGGAACCTGTACTGATAGAGGTTTCAGGGCAGCCGATGTATCTTATTAATTCTTCTACTCTTACGATTAAGCATTCTCCAGATGAATGGCTTCGTCTACCTTTGCATTATGCCTACATGTAGACCCAATTATATCAGAATAACCTCCAAATAGTTTGTGCTCTTATTGAGATTTGACCAAGAATTACATGTTCGAATTTCGACATGAAATTTTATTAACCTGACGACTTCACTTAGACTAGCTCAATTAAAAAGTTTCATCATTTTGGAATATTGTATCTCCGAGATTTTCGTTAATAAATTGATCATGTTCCAGATTTATTTGATTCTCTTATCATAAAAAGACTAAAGACACATTATCCAGCTATTAATTCTAATAGATCATTCATTCTTTCGAAAACATAGAACTCGACGATGTTTGGATTTTATCTATTGTTTTTTCTTTTCGTTCGTTCGTTCGTTCGTTCTATTTATTCTATCATATGTTATAAACTTTCATATCCAACTAATAAAAGAATGACTATAAACAACAGTACTATATCAATATTTCAACGTCATTATCATAATCAAATTGAATCGATTAATGAACCAACAGCTTTAAATAATTTAGTATCAATAGATTATAATTATGATCCTAGTGGTGCTGCTTATTTTATGATTATTGTTCTATTATGGTATTCCATAAGTGTTGTTTTTATGTTGGGAATGAAAATTCGAACTCGTACTGAAATCATTGAAGATTGTATACACCGTCGAGTAAAATTATTTATTAAAACTCTTCGAGATCAAACCCAGACTAAACAAATTCTTGGTATAAGTTCTTTGTATTTTACAAAAGGAAAAAAATCTATTTAATAAATCAATCTTTTATTTTAAGAAGAACTTGTTGATAAACAAAAACGTAATCAACTTTGGAATATTTATTTCGGTAAAACATATAATAAGAAACATAAATTAAAACATGCAGAAATTCTTCGAATAAAAAATATTAAAAAACAATTAGCTATCATTAATCATAATCGTATGATTATAAATGATACATTTATATCTCCAATTGTAAATTCTTGTACTCGTCATCGATTATCAATGAAAAATCAAAAATGTATTCGACGTCGTTCATCATTGGATCGACAAATAATTCAACGATGGAAATCAACTATTGATCAAAATAAATCATATGAACAGCAAATACCATGGACTATTAAAAAAGTACTTATACGTCGTTATTTGAGACGATATTATCAAAATACATCAATGACTATACCTGCAATGGAATCAGTACAAGCTCATCAATATTTACAAACGATCGATGATGAACAATGTCATTTTTTATCAGCACATAAAAAAATTAATAATAATTCATGTCAAATAATAAGAAAAACAAATGAACCATTAAATGCATATATAACTTATTTTCAATTACCAACAAATGAAAATCTTAAGACAAATATTCAAAATTTACCACATGTTACTGTTAAGTCAAATCATCATATTATTCAAATGAATCATGATGAAGTTTAATGCTGGTTTTTTTAAAATTATAATTTGCATTTTTGTAACATTTTTCTAAATACTAAATAAAACAATTTTTATTAATTAAAACAGTAAAATCTTTTATATTATAAATGCTTACAAAAACAGTTCATTTTCTCTAACCTAATAATGCAAATCCTATTAACTAAGTTATCGTGATCTCAGAAGAATTTTCATTCATAGTAAAGTAATCCAATCAGGAGATTAGTTTCCATAAATAGGTCTTAGAGTTTTTGGAAGTAGGAAATTGAGGGGCTCTCTAGATCCATGCTCTGCGGTTTGAGTTCAGTGGTTCCGAAAATTAACTGGAACAGAAACTATTGAATCATCAGATATAGATACAACAATCTCATGTCTATTTTGAGAAATCCTTAATTTCAAGAATGAAAAAATGAAGATTTCTCGACTTAAAGTTACAAGTTTTTGTATCTATCCGATAACTGAACAGTTGTGGTTTCAAGAAATTTTAAAAAACTCGGTTCTGACTGCCAGTTTTTTGCAACTACTGAGCTTTATCGACTAGATCTAGGTCCTCACAAGAAGTGGACATGTAACTCCCTACTTGAAGATTCGTAAACATCTAAGTTGTTAGATTAATATTATAAGAACTATAGTATGTATTGATCAGAAGGTTTTCATGAATTTATTATCTTAGTATATAGTAGACTTCTCGTAAAATGATGAAAGCTCTGGTGAAATGACTTAAGTATGAATTCTTTTAGTCTTAAATGTGATATGAAGTTATCTTTCATGCAACGCTTCTCATCTCGTTTTTATTGATCGATCTCCTTCTTCTAATAATATCCATGTTCGAGTAAATTACGGTGTTAATGTTATGACGATGAACAAAATAGTATCCTTAAATCGTCGTTTTTCGTAATAGAAGTATAAAAAAACGAAGGGTTACGTCTCAGCGAAAGTACGTCGTATGAAATGAGATGAACCATTACAGCGAGCTACGATGAAAACTCATGCAGTAGACACGCGACTTTTATTTTTCGCTGATTACAATGTCGTTAACAGTTTCCATCATATGATTAAACTGCATATGGTATCATGTAGATGTCACTCTATACCACTTGAGACTCATTGACACGGTCAATTGGCTCATATTTAGATCTAATAGAATATTGGATGAAGAAATGAAAATGCATTAGCTAAACCAACTTTGAAAGCAATACGTAATATGAAGTTTATTCACTGGATACTGAAATGTACTCTGACAATATGAATGAGAGAAAATATGAGTTATATAACATCAAAATATAAATCATCTATTATATATATGATTACGCAACAATTTATTTCTAGATTATGTCTGTTCATTTGTTTAAACTCAAACGATATTTAACTCGTGTTGATCAATGTGTTAGATATACACCTTCATTAACTAAATGGCATCAAGTTTCAGTAAATTTTCAAGTGATTTATTCGTAATCTAATTTAATATTTTTCAGAAATTATTCAGCAATTTATCAAACGCAACATCTCCTCTTGTTCATCGTCTAAATACAGTTGTACCGAAAGGTTTTGAAAAATACTTCCCGGGTGGTGGTGGTAAAGGACCTCAACCAAAAGAACCAAGTATTCATGTTTCATATTCTTACAGTAAACTTATCATTTTATTTGTATTCAGGTGGAAGCCAACGTCCACCAGCTCCACCAAAAGAACCTACTCCTGGTGAACGACCACCGGAAGGTGGTCAACCTAGACAACCTACACCGGGTCCAAGTCCTGGTGGTCGTGGAGCACCCACTCCACCTTCATCAGGTGGTAGTGGTGGTGGCTGGCGTGGTTTAGAATTTAAGTTTACACCAGGTGATAAAAATTCATTTTTTAATAATCGTACAGGTCTTGCCATACTTATTGGTAGTGGCATAGCTGCTTATTTTGCATATAATAATACATTATATAGAGAAATAACATGGAAAGATTTTGTGTCACAATATTTACTTAGAGGATATGTAAGTTAGCTTTTCTTTCAAGGATAAAAAAGAATTGATTAGTTTAAAGAAACTGTTTGTTGTTTTTTTTGGTTTTAGGTAGATAAACTTGAAGTAGTTAATAAGAAATGGGTTCGTGTAAGACTTCTTCCTGGTGCACCTGATTCAATGGTAAAAATAAATCTTCGATTCCTGTTTATTTTCGTATTATTAAATTTAATTTTATTAAATAGCATAGTTTATGGTTTGCTATTGGATCAGTTGATTCATTTGAACGTAATCTTGAAAATGTTCAAACTGAAAATGGTATTGATGCTGGAGGTTATGCACCTGTTTTATATAAAACAGAAGCTGATGCAAGCACATTAATGAGTGCTGCATCATGGGTATTACCTATTCTTTTCTTTATTTGGATATTTCGACGAGCTGGTTCAGCCATGGGACAAATGGGTGGAATGGGAGGAAAAGGATCTAGTGGAATATTTGGAATAGGAAATACTACAGCACGAATTGTTAAAGAGAATGTTGGTACATCATTTAAGTAAGATTTTATTATATACTTAAAAAGTAGTCTATTAAAAAGAATATTTGATACATTTACATAGAGATGTAGCTGGATGTGAAGAAGCTAAACTTGAAATCATGGAATTTGTAAACTTTTTAAAAAATCCACAACAATATCTTGATCTTGGCGCTAAAATTCCTAAAGTAAGTGATTTATAATCTAACAAAGAAACATCTTCAAGTGTCAAGTTATTTTTCGATCGAGATAATATTCATTTGACGAATAATATGAAAGTCTAGAATGGTTTGTTTTTCCGAGATCTCGTCCTCGAGATGAATTTTTCAAAAAAAAAAGTTATGGTTGTCCTCAGATCCCATGAAAGATCGATTTTCGACTTCAACGTTCTCAATAAGATTAATTCATTAAGCAACTTGTAACTTTTCTAATATCTTTTATTCAGAAATATTCTATATTCGTCATGTGTAAAAACAAATTTTGTTCATCTATTTATATCTCCAGAAAGAAGATACTGGTTGCGCAATTAGATTATCTCATTAGAATGTAGGTTAGAGCTCGCCGAATTTAAGACTTTCGCACCAGTTTTATCAACTTATTTGAGATTCAAACCCAATTAAAGCATACTTCGATACTTTCAATGAAACTTTGTAATTGATATAGAATAGCCACTCCAAATGTACGAGACACATTTTTCTCGGCTTTTTAATATTTGGTGACTAGTATACCCTACACATTACTTAAACGGGCCTTCTGGGCGAAGTCTAGGGTAGGCCCATCAGATTCGAAGTTTTTGGACCCGGACTCGGTGGGGGTCTGGAACTAACCCGACAAGCTCTAGTGAAGATGTGAATGAAAAGAAGAACCATTCTCAGAGACACATTCTCGATTGCAGCAATAGCTTTAGTAACAAGTAATGAGAACGCAAATATTTTCTCAGTCTGTTTAGTATGAATTATTGTATTAATTTAAAGATAGCGGATTTTACAAGGCATGTTGAGACATCACACCCACAATCTAAAGCACTTTCCAATCTTTTAACAGTCGACCACAATTTTTGTTGGAAACCCTAACAAAATTTCGATATTTTATGAATGAAAGTCCGAAAAATCAAATCATTCAAGATTTTTATATCAATCATCAAATAAGCATAATCTCGGTAGACAAGCGATTTGAAACTTGAAGGAGTGCCTTCAGAAGATCTTTTATATTTGACGTTCATATTGCGTAATAGGGCGCCATTCTGACTGGACCACCAGGCACAGGTAATCTATTCAAATGATTGAAATAATGATCTATTAAATTCATTTAGGCAAGACCCTCCTAGCCAAAGCTACTGCTGGTGAAGCTGGTGTTCCATTTATTACTGTATCCGGTTCTGAATTTCTTGAAATGTTTGTTGGTGTTGGTCCATCTCGGGTTAGTTTATTCTTTTTTATTTAATATCAATATTATTTTTTATATAAATTGAATTTAGGTTCGTGATATGTTTGCATTAGCACGTAAAAATTCACCATGTATTTTATTTATTGATGAAATTGATGCTATTGGACGAAAACGAGGTGGTCGTTCGATAGGTGGTCATAGTGAACAAGAAAACACATTAAATCAACTTTTAGTTGAATTAGATGGTTTTACACCACAACAAAATGTTATTGTTTTAGCAGCAACTAATCGAATGGATATATTGGATTCAGCTTTATTACGTCCTGGTAGATTTGATCGACAAATATTTGTTGGTTTACCAGATATTAAAGGACGTGCTAGTGTATTTAAAGTTCATTTAGGACGTTTAAAAACTTCTTTAGATAAAAATGAATTAGCAAGAAAATTATCAGCTCGAACACCAGGATTTTCAGGTTGATTATTTTTTCATTAAAATTTCAGAAAAAAAACCATAATACAACGATCTATATATGTATTCTAGGTGCTGATGTAGCAAATGTTTGTAATGAAGCAGCACTTATAGCAGCACGTGATTTAAATAGTGAAATCGAAATGAAACATTTTGAAGCTGCTATTGATCGTGTTATTGCTGGTAAATTATTCAAATGATTCATTTTCTTGTTAAAAATGTATTTCTCTAGGTATGGAGAAAAAATCTCAAGTTTTACAACCTGAAGAAAAAAAACAAGTCGCATTTCATGAAGCTGGTCATGCTGTATGTGGTTGGTTTTTACAACATGCTGAGCCTATTATAAAAGTATCAATTATTCCACGTGGTAAAGCACTTGGGTATGCACAATATATGCCTAAAGAGCAATATTTATATACCAAAGATCAAGTACAGAAAAAAAGAATTCTTCTTTTTGTTTTTTTTTTTTGATAAAAAAAATTGTTTTTATATTGAATTTAGTTATTTGATCGTATGTGTGTTATGCTTGGTGGTCGTATAGCTGAACAAATATTTTTTAATCGTATATCAACAGGTGCACAAGATGATTTACAAAAAATTACACAATCAGCTTATGCACAAGTTGTTCGTTTTGGTATGTCAGAAAAAGTTGGTTATGTTTCATTTGAT